CAACATATCATTACAATGGAAGGTAGAAGCAAAGGTATTACTGATGGCTTCTGTTACTAAAACATGATAAGGAAAAAAATGAAGACCATCCATTGTATTAAAACTTGGGAATGAAAATACATAGCTTTTGCAAGAAATTTTGACTTTCACAGTGAATTATTTGTCTTTTGAGAGGCAAAAGAATAAACCATTGTTAGTAGCAAGTTATATTAAATTACCTAGCCTAGAGAACAGAATGCAGTATGAAATTATTCCAATCCATAGCTGACATACTTGAGGACAAAACTAATATGAGCAAGAATTGTTAATTAACTTAAATAATTAATTTAAGAAATACAGAGTTGACCAAGGTGCTTTTGAAATTCTAAAGTTCTTTAAAAGTTGGGATTTTAATTCCCATCATTACCAAATATAGTAGTATGGCCCGGATGACCATGGCTGATGGTTGTTGCAGTATAACCCACCTGGAGGACTTGAACTGCAGAAGGCTGCCTTAGACCTGAGTTCTTCAAACTGTGTTCCATGGAACCCTAAGATTCTGTAAGAACTTGATGCAGTTGGGTGAGAGACTAAGGGCAACAACAACAACAACAAAAATTGGCTCCCACATAGCCAATTTTGTATCACTACAGCTTTGCCTCTTGATCGGGGTTTCTAGGAATTTTTTTTTAATTAACAGATTCCATGGCCTGAAAAAAATTGAAAACTCCTGCTTTAGACCACTATTCCTTTCATTTACCTTTGCAAGAGGGGCCTTTATGATTGCTCTAAGATCAAGAACCCATTTCTCTTTTTTGTATAGGATTCAAAATGTATCTTTGTTGAATATTTTGCTTCTTTTATGTTACCTTATAGCTAGTAGCAATCTGGGATAATATTCCACTGATTCCCTTCCACTAACAGAGCATTCATTCTACTGAAAGATTCTTTCCGCAAGCAGTGAACCCAATTTCTTCAGTTTGAGAAAGATAGAAAAAAGATTAAACAGACATCCACTAATTTATTGGATAATCATATTGATTATATAATTTGCTTTTGTTACAGTTTTATAGTATGATAAGTTTAAAATAATGACACAGTTTTGTGAATTTGCACATGGTACTAACTGCTTCTTTTCAACGGGGAATAATAATCCTTAGGAACATTAAAATAAGTTGTATCCTAGTTCTGTTGTTAACTATCACCAACAGATGTAAATTTAATAAATAAGTAAAGCTATGTTCATATGCACTTTATAATAGAAAAAGAAATATCAGTTTACAAATTTGTAAGCAAATGACTTTATTCTGTCATTTTCCAAAGTAGCATGTGAACTCCCTGGGGTAACAAAGGCCATTTACTACATGGTAAGTATTTTGTGAGAACACAAACAAGGGTTATAATCTTTATTGCCTCTTCCCTAGTTGCAAGCCTCTAAAGGAAATAGGGTTGTCACCAGCCCTGCTGTTCTCAGCTTGAGATAATAAAGAAATGAAATAGGGCAGAGAGCCCTTTGATGTTCCCGCCCAAGTGATCAGAGGGGAAAACTTTTGAGGGCCTGGAGGTTAGTTTCTTTCATGATTTTAGCAGTCTCTTGTTAAGTGTCCTCAGAGCAGGAGACTGCAATATTATGTAGCAGGCTAAACAATCCACCATACAGGTGTGACATGGATGTTGTATATACTATTTTAAACAATTGACTTAATTATTTCAGACTATAATCAGATGCCTTGATTAAATTCCAGTTTTCATAAATCTCAAATGGCCACTGTTCCAGATTTGGACAAGCAGTAAGTCCACTGTGTGGGGTAAAATGGTACATATTCACTAACTGTATTATAAATATATATAAATATGATAAATAAATATGATAAATAAACTGGATATTTTGGCATAGCATGTCATAAGAACACTATCTATAAATTGGCCCACCAACAGTTACACTTTACTAATGTTGAATATCTAGCTTGGAAATATTTGGAATCCTTGCTATAGAAGAATAAAACTGTATGGACTAGAGAAACTGTTGACAATAGCATTACCTATCAGATGATTGGGAGGAAATTAAAACGATTTTATTACTTCCTCAAGGGCTTGTGGTTTCCTTCTCCAAAGAAGCTGCTTTCCTTAACCCCTGCTAT